GTTCAAAATTAAATAGGATTAAGCTTTGGTGTATTGGCAAAATTTCATCTACAGTTCCAATACAACGACATTGATGTGGGAAGACAACATAACCACTTTGCATTTCGGGTACAAGAGTAATTTTGGAAGTGTGTTAGTTTGAAAGTAAATGGGTACAAAACTTTGAATTTATGGGTGGAAAATCATAATAGAACTTTTGAAATTGGTGAAGCTAAAAATAAATCAAGCTATTGGGTTTAAAAGCAATAAAATAACTTTGAATGTGGGAGGGTTAAAAAATAAATGGAGGGAAGCTTTGGGCTTGAAGGTTAAAAACCAAATAATAAAAATAAAAAGAGCTAAAAGCGTATACCGTAGCTATGAACAGCGCATAACTACAGTAGCTACAGTTTCAATTGTTTTAGTACAGCTAGTAATAATTTGACCCTTCCAATGTGCTATGCTGGACCTTTTCCCTGTTTGATGTCTGCTCACTTTTAATTCCTTACTATTTGACTTGAAGTGGTTTGCAAGGTCCAAGGTTTTAAATGTCGGTTATCGGGGATTTATCGGACGGTCAAAATCCTTATCGGATAGCGGAAATCGGGGATATATCGGGGATAAGTATTATTTATCGGAGTAATATACTAGCAAATAATAAACAAACATAAGCTTGAAAAAATACAATGTTAGTCAAAATGGAATAATAAACAAGCAAATAATAAGATAACATCAAGAATGAAGAACCATCTACGCATCTACATAATTATTGTTTAATCATGAGATTCATAAACTAACTTACTAAGTTGATATTTAGTAGTTATGAACCATTATCAATATCCATAAACAAACATAAGCTAATCACCAATCAACCAAGTTCCAAAAGCAATAAATAGTTCATAATTTGTAAACATTCAAAGAGCAAATCCAAAAAAAAGTAAAAGCTCCCAAATCCTACTTATCGGCCGATAAAGCCGATATTTAGAGCCTACTTATCGGCCGATAAGTGCCTTTATCGCCGATAACTCGCCGATAAACCTCAAAAAACGATAACCGACTAAAAATCCTACTTATCCTAGCGGAAAGCTCCCAAATCCGATAACTCGGCGATAATATCGGATTATCGGCCGATATTTAAAACCATGGCAAGGTCTGTGTTCTTTTCTGTTTATTAAATGTCGTAAACTCTTTTCTTTGATATTTTTGTTATTTTCAATATGGTTTCTATCTCTCTTTTGATATGGAGTGTGTCCTGAATATTGTTTAGACCTTGGACATATTGCTGATTCAGTCCTCTGCCTTGTTTAGGAATTAATGGCTTCCGTGCAGTGGAGTAAGGTGGACGATCTTTGGAATGCACCTGTGCAACCCTTGCTAGGTCTTGAATGGAAGACTTGGAAACAAGAAGCTATGAAATGGTTCTCTACTTCACATCCGATGGCTAATGGCACAAATGTAAAGCAGAGAAATTGCGAAACTCCTGCAAACATGGAACCTTTTATTAGCAGTAAGCGCCCCAAGCTTGAAATCCGTCGACCAGAAAGTTGTGCTTCTCAAATGGAAGCTTCTGACTGCAGGATTCCCTCTCAGGTTGACGGGGTGGATGCTTATCCTGTACAATCAATCTGCCAGGACATTATAGCAGTTCCTGAGGTTGATCAGCAAATGAACTCTGGCACAGTTGATGACAGGTTGGATGCCAGTGGATGCTTAAAGCTTATTGAAAGTTCAGTACAGACGTCTACCAGTGGAAGGGGTGGTAATGCAGCTACTGCCCCTTACCAGTATAGGCAATGTTCAGCTTTTATAGCTGCTAAGGGCAGGCAGTGTGGAAGGTGGGCAAGTGATGGTGATGTTTACTGTTGTGTGCATACGGATACTAGTTCTGGAGGCAAATCTCTGCAGGATCAAAGGCCACCGCCTGATGCCCCTATGTGTGAAGGTGTTACCACTCATGGCCATAAATGCAAACATCGAGCTCGATTGGGATCTGCTTTTTGCAAGAAACATCGTATTCAGAAAAGCCATGATTTAGTGAAAATAAATCATCTCTCAATTTGCTCTGGAGGTAAGCTAAAGAGGAAGTTAGGTGAAAACAATGCCTTTGAAAAAAATTCTAGTTCACATGCTAGTAATAGTGAGGAGCTTGGGTTGATAACAGAACATGAAACTTCTGTTCAAGATAATTTGATCTCAATATCAGTAGGTGAAACCTTAGATGAAAAGAATTGTTTGATGAAGGATTCTGATCTTTACGATGCATTACCTACTTCAGTAAGAGACACAAGTCTGGATTTTCCACGCTGTGTTGGGTACTATGGCCAGACTAATAGTGAGCAATGTCTGGAAGATGCCAAGAAGCACACTTTATACTGTGAGAAGCACATTCCAAATTTTCTGAAAAGAGCAAGAAACGGTAGAAGTAGACTAGTATCAAAAGATATTTTTATTAATCTTCTAAAGAACTGTTCCACAAGGAAGCAAAAATTGTATCTTCATCAAGCATGTGAGCTTCTGTATGGGTTCATGAAAAGGAGTTTGTCCCACCAACAGCCAGTTTTCAAGGGCAACATCATGGAGTGGACGCTGTCTGAAGCATCCAAAGATGCGAATGTTGGAGAATTTTTGTTGACATTGGTCTCCTGTGAAAGAGAAAAAATAATAAGGGTTTGGGGCTTTGGGACTGAGAAAGTTAAGGATGGAATTTTCTCAGGGACAAATGCATTATCCACATCAGTGGCACATCAGAAAGATCACAACTCTGAGATGACTGTGAAGTGCAAAATCTGTGCAGCAGAGTTCCCTGATGATCAAATGCTTGGTGCGCATTGGACAGATAGTCATAAAAAAGAAGCTCGATGGCTTTTTAGAGGATATGCTTGTGCTGTTTGTATGAATTCATTTACCAATAAGAAGGTTCTAGAGTCACACATTAGAGAAAGACATGGTGTGCAGTTTCTTGAACATTCAGTACTATTTCGTTGTATGTCCTGCAATCGCCACTTTGTTAATATTGAACAGTTATGGCAGCATGTACTTTCATTGCACTTATCAGAATTCAGAATGATAGATCATGGGGAACAGAATAATCAGTCTATGGATCAGTGTGATCAACCAAAGTTAGAGCGAAACAGTAACCTTCATCAAAGCAATGGTGTATCTGTAAATGAAGATGACTCTCAGAGATACATTTGCAGGTTTTGCGGGATGAAGTTTGATCTTCTGCCAGATCTGGGCCGCCATCATCAAGTTGCTCATAAGAACTCAAGTTCCATAAACCAGTTTAGAGGTAACCATTATATTAAACACAAGAGGCATTGCAATCCTAGATTCAAGAAAAGTTTTGGACGGACATTCAGGCTGAAGAACCAGACTAATTATGGCATACAAAAGCGATTGTCACCATCTAATTTGGTTTTATCTTTGAGGCCAAAATTGAAAAGTCAAGCATCTGAAACATTGACCCTTGGGAGGATCTTGGAGTCGCATTGTGCAGATGTAGCGGAGACCTTATTCTCCGAGATACAGAAAACAAAACCTCGGCCAAGTAACCTTGAGATTCTTTCTATTTCCCGTTCTGCATGCTGCAGGGTAAGCCTTCATTCTGCACTAGAAGAGAAGTACGGAGCACTACCTGAAAATCTTTATTTGAAGGCAGCCAAACTTTGCAGTGAGGTAAATATCCAAATAGGTTGGCATGCTGAAGGATTTATTTGTCCAAAAGGCTGTAAGCGTCCCATGAACCCTCATTTTTCAACTTCCACTATAGCTAACCAAGATGGGATTCTGGATCCTCCAACTCCTACAGGCGATGTTGCTGTTGACATAAAATGGGAGATGGAAGAATCCCACTATATGCTTGGTCCAAAACATTTCAACTGGAAAGTAACGCAGAAAACCGTTGTTTTATGTGAAGATGTGAGCTTTGGGAAGGAACCAGTTCCAGTGGCTTGTGTCATTGATGAAAATATTAAAGATGGGCTCAATAGCCAGGAGCCTCCTGCCCTTTCGCCCTGGCAGGGTTTCACTTATATTACTAAACGGTTGCTTGGGTCATCTCTTGATCTTGATGCAGAGGTATACTTCTAAAGTTATTTATAGTTATATGCTGACTTTTAATATAGACATCCGTTAGAAAACAACGGTTTATTTCCCATAATTGACCATATCATTTTCTGCTCCACGCAATAAAGATTATATGCAAGATTCCCATTTAATCATATTCACAAATAAATGGCTTCGATTTTGTTTCTGCAGAATCCACAATTGGGGTGTGCTTGTCTAGCCTCCAAATGTTCCCCTGAGAAATGTGATCATGTCTATCTATTTGATAATGATTATGAAAATGCTGAAGATATTCACGGTAGATCAATGCGTGGTAGATTTCCGTACGATGAAAAGGGAAGACTTTTATTGGAGGTAATGCTAGTTGAGTTGGTTGAGTATATCTCACTGGGATTAAAATCTATGTTGTCAAGAGTTGGTTGAGTATATCTTGTCTCGGATTAAAATCTATGTTGTCAATACACGTGCAAAGAGTATATTTCACACTACGCACGTTCATATATCATTACTTTTTTTCTTAGGTTATTCAAGTTTAGATTTATCAACTGCCTGAATCATGAAAATCCTTTAGACATCCAATGCGATACTCCTATGAATTTAACATGTGCTAAATTTTAGCACTTTTCCTTGCCATCGTTCTTTCCATAGTAGAAGGTTCTGACATAACCACAATGGCATAAGATGTTGTTGTGAAGTAGTGTCTTTTTGTCTTGGATGTTTCTATCTGTTCAGAAGAGTTTCTTTTGGGTTTCTTACATATTGGCTAAGATATCTGAAACATTAGAACTCAGGTAATAGATAACAACAAATATAAACAAGTCTTTTATTTGACATGTAAAGCATGTCCTTTTCTTTATACCCAAATTTGAAGGTCTCTGGTCTTTTGAACAACATAAAATTAACTTTAGAGTGTACACCATGAAAGTTGGAGTTTTTGAACAGCTCTCGCTAATATATTATTTATAGAGTTGTAATTTCTGGGACCATTGGGTACTCTCGCTTTCTGCCATAAAGAATTTCTTTGCTGACATCAGTTTAAAGTGATTAACGAAAGGGCTAATTACAAAAGACCCTCATAAACTTTTGGGGAGTTGCAATAAATCCGCATCAACTTCTTTTTATTACACTTAGCTCCCCTAAACTTTAGAAGTTGTCGTACATAACCCCCATGAACTAATTTATTTTACTAAATTTTACATGAAAATTTCTCATTTAATCTCCAATTAGTCCCTTGGAACTTTCATATTTGAATTTATTCCCTCAAATCTTCATAATTAGCCCCCAAATCTTTGAAGTATTATGAAATTAGTCTCTTTGTTACATTTAGAGCTATTTGGTATGTGGGAATCGGATCAAAGTGAGAATAGAATGAAGTAAGGAATGAAATGGAATGAGTGTGAGAATGGAATGCTCATTTCCATTCTCACGTTTGGGTGCGATTAGCGAATGAAGTGGGAATGCAAGTCTTTTTAATTTTAATTTGGGTAACTAATAAATAATTTGGAAATATTTGGTATGTATTTTAAAATTTTCATTCCCACTTAAATGGGAATACCTATTCTCTACCTATTCATTGGGAATGCTGATTCCCACAAAACATAGGGATGAAAGAGAAATTGGAATGAGCATTCTAGCTTCCGAAAGGATGATGAGCATTCTAGCTTCCGAAAGGATGATGTGCATAGTACATATAAATGAGAAGTGGGGTTGAGCATTCCATTCCCACTTACTTTCGCTTATCAATCAAGGCCTTACGATTCAAGTTGTTAACCAAGATTGAGCAGTGGTTAATCATGAACATGTACTTACAAAATTACCAAATCAATCAAATCCAACATAAAAATTCACAAAAACAAGGTCCAAATTTTGTGGATTTAAGTCTAGTATCACATAACCTTTCTCTAATTTGCGGTTAGGGAAAAATCAACTACCATTAATACATTTAGAGAAAAACTTTAAAAAAATTGAACCATGTTGATTCTAACGATAGGTACTCATGTTGAAATGAAGTATTTATGAGAATGTTTTTGTAAAACATTTATTTTACATTCTTCGTTCAACTACTTATACATTTGGAAATTTATTATACATTGTCATAGTATATCGCCTTTTTATTGATTATATCATGGTTTTATTTGAATCAACCCCCCTCCCCCTCCCGCCAAAAAAAAAGAAAAAGAAAAACCACCACAGAAGAAATCCTGGCTCCGCCATTGCCTGTTGTGGATAGTTGGACTTTAATGCTCGTACATTTGGAAATTCACTATACATTGTCCATTGTCATAGTAGATCGCTTTTTATTGATTGTATCATGGTTTTATTTTGATCCCCCCCCCCCCCCCCCCCCCCCCCCCACACACACACACACACACACACAAAACCCCATTTCATGGAAAAAATCCTTGCTTCACCATTGCCTGTTGTGGATAGTTGGACTTTAATGCTTAGGCACTATAGCTTCACCCCATAAACATTTAAACTCCTGTAATCTCCGTAACGCCCAATATGCCTGAGATGTATTTTTTATTTACACGCATTGATGCATGCGACATCTGTTGTCTCTTCTTGATCATTTCATTCTTATTAATTTGAAATATGAAATCGATATGGAACTTTTGTTCTCAGCCTGGAATGAAATTCCATGCAGAGTGGATGTTAACCTGCTGTGGATAGTTGGGCTTGCTTATGCACTATAGCCTCACCCCATAAACACTTAACCCTCTGTAGTCTCGCCTGAAATATATTTTTTATGTACATGCATTGATGCATGCGACATCAATACCCCTGTAATCTCGCTAACGCCCTTTATGCCTGAAATATATTTTTTATGTACATGCATTGATGCATGCGACATCTGTTGTCTCTTCTTTATTTGTTATTGATTTGAAATTTGAAATCGATATGGAACTTATGTTCTCAGTCTGGAATGAAATTTTCTGCATCGTGGAAGTTAACCTGTTTGGATTGTTGGACTTTGATGCATAGGCACTATAGCCTTAGCTCATAAACATTTAACCCCCTGAAACCTCCCTAATGCTCACTTGCTCAGCATGCCTGATGTATTTCTTATGTAAATATATTGATGCATGTGACATCTGTTGTCTATCTTCTTGATCTTTTCATTCCAGGGTTACCATAAGTCATGGGTATTTGCAAAAATGCCCCCTAAATCTTCGTATTTGCTAAACTACCCCTCAAATCATCAACTTAGGGGAAAAATACCACTAAAATCAGCTAATCAACAACTTGCTGTTAAAAATTTGACTATTTCATTGATAACTTTTACGTTGAATTATCAAAGTGGATGATTAATTGCTTTGAGGGTAATAATGTTTTCCAAAATTGATTATGTGAGGGGTAGTTTTGCAAATATTGAGATTTGGAGGGTATTTTTGCAAATACCCAAGATTTAAGGGATATATGTGCAAACAACCCGTCATTCTTATTGATTTGAAATGGATGTGAAACTTATGTTCTCAGCCTGGAATGAGATTCCATGCAGCATGGATGTTAACCTGTTGTGGATAGGTGGACTTTGATACTTAGGCACTATGGCCTCTCTCCATAAACATTTAATCCCTGTAATCTCCCTACCGCCCTGTATGCCTGAAATGTATTTTTTTATGTACATATATTCATGCATGCGACATCTGTTGTCTATCTTCTTGATCATTTCATTCTTATTGATTTGAAATTGATATGAAACTTCGCAGCAAGGTTACCTTGTTTATGAGTGCAACTCCTTGTGCCATTGTCATGCTACATGTCATAACAGAGTTCTACAGAAAGGGATAAAAGTCAAGCTTGAAATATTCAAAACAGAGAACAAGGTAATAAGTTGCCATTGTCTCTTTAGTTCCCAATCAAAATTCATTTGTGATAAGCAGAGATTGTTTTCAGGGGTGGGCTGTGAGAGCTGGAGAAGCTATCTCATGTGGTACTTTTGTGTGCGAGTACATTGGTGAAGTTATGAATGATCTGGAGGGAGATAAGAGGAGGGAGAGGTTTAAAATTTTATTTACTAGTTTATGATTCTGTCTTTTTGTATTATCTGATAACAAAGTGATTAATCTCTAAAATTTCAGGTATAACAATGTGGAATGCAGCTACATTTATGACATAAATTCTCACCTAGTGTCGAGAGGCCTCAGCGAAGGGACAGTTCCGTATGTCATCGATGCTACGAGGTTTGGGAATGTGTCCCGGTTTATCAATCACAGGTACTTCAGATAATCCATTATATGCAGTCCTTTTACCTCCCGTTTCCATTATAATTTACAGCAACTGACTTCGTTCTTTTCAGTTGTTCACCCAATCTTGTTAACTATCTAGTCCTAGTGGAGAGCATGGACTGCCATCTTGCTCATGTCGGTCTATACGCCAGTCGGGATGTATGAACTCCTTTATCTTTATTTTTTAGGGTAAATTACAGAAAACCCCCCAAACTTTTGCATGATTCACTGAAAATCCCCTGAGGCTTTCAATGTAGCATGGACTGCCATCTTGCTCATGTCGGTCTATACGCCAGTCGGGATGTATGAACTCCTTTATCTTTATTTTTTAGGGTAAATTACAGAAAACCCCCCAAACTTTTGCATGATTCACTGAAAATCCCCTGAGGCTTTCAATGTGATGTAGATGCTAACATCATAGGATATGACAATTGCGAACTCCCATATAAACATGTGTATGATCATTATATTGAAAATTATGATTTTTTGACTAAAAATTTAAGGGAGTAAAGTCAATTTTAAAAGTTCAGGGGGATTTTCTATTAATCATGCAAATCATAGAGAGCTTTTATGTAATTTATCCTATTCTGTTACTCTTCTCCTAATGTAAGCTAGGGATGACTCGGTAAAATGCTGACTCTATTATCCTGCGGGTTAGATTGCTAAAGGGGAAGAACTAGCTTATGACTACTGCCATGAGCTGGTGCCAGGAGGAGGATGCCCTTGTCTATGTGGAACTTCAAACTGCAGAGGACGTATTTATTGAAATGTCTGAAAGAAATAATGCGACAAAGCTTTTGGTCAATGAATATGCAGTCATGGAACTTTCATTGGCACTCTCAGAAATGTCAGAATTTTTCCGTAAAAATTCAACTATAAGCAAAGGAGATGTGATGGTGGTCCGCCGTAGGTTTAGGTTCTTACTAACAGTTAGTGATTTATCGCCCTTGTATACACCGATGATTTGATTCTTTCCTGGCTGCAAGAGAGCCAGCAAGATTTTTAGGTACATTTCATCTCTGTAGCAAAGCTTAATTGCTTTGAACTGTAATTATACATTTGAATTTTTCATCTACAGTCTTCAAGAGAGAACATAATCTAATTCTTTAACTGTTTAGTTTTGGCTGAATGTATTTTTCCTCTGTTCTGAGCCGAGATAGATGTTGATAGATCGGTTCCTTTGATGATCTTTTTTTTAATTGTAAAACTTCTTACTCGGTAATGAGATTCATTTTCCTACTTGGTAAAAATTTTAAAATAAAATTAAAAACTTCATATAGTTTGTGAATCAGCCCCTATTCGCATTGGCAGTAAATATGACGTTCGTTTGAAAGATAAATGGTTGAAATTATCAAAGTAAACATGATTATTAGAATGGTTGAAATTATCAAAGTAAACATGATTATTAGAATGGTTGAAATTATCAAAGTAAACATGATTATTAGAATGGTTGAAATTATCAAAGTAAACATGATTATTAGAATGGTTGAAATTATCAAAGTAAACATGATTATTAGAATGGTTGAAATTATCAAAGTAAACATGATTATTAGAATGGTTGAAATTATCAAAGTAAACATGATTATTAGTTAGAAAAATTGTGTCAAGGCCTCAAAAATTAAAACAGCAAGTGATCAAGCCCCGTGTATTATTTTCATTGTACATAGTTGGTAATTTACTAGTGTAGCTATCTCATAATTGTCCTTGTTGCTATTGAGGAAATTCAATACATATTAACCATCTCAAGTAACCTTGATTGGTTCCTATTAACTCTACACAATACATATTATCAATCTAAGATAAACTGCTAATCTTTGTATGTTCCTATTAACTATACACAATACATATTAACTATCTCATGAAACTGTTAACCTTGGTATCTTCTCGTCAACTTTACATAATGCATATTAACTATCTCATGTAACTGCTAACCTTACATCGAAGTACCATTCAGTCTTGAAAAGCATGTGCTCAGTGGCAGAGGCAACATAGACATATTAGATATAGAGCGTTGTAAAGACCATTGTTGGGTGATCTTCGCCTTGGCTATTTTGGGGTGTGAAAGTCGTCAGATTGTAACTCTCACAGTTGATGATAAATACCGCTGAATAGAGTTTTCGTCAGTCGTCGGAAGGGCCATTGAATTGTAACTCCTCTTGATCTATGTGAAAAGTTCTCCATTTGCAGCTTTCATTTATTGACGTAAAAGTCGTCGGATTGTAACCTTCTTAGTCAAGATTGTTCGTTGAGGTTTGGCAGGGATCAACTATCTATTGTGATTTTTAGACAGCCTACAGGGCTGCAAGTTGGATGTAGATGCTAACATCATAGGATATGACAATTGCGAACTCCCATATAAACATGTGTATGATCATTATATTGAAAATTATGATTTTTTGACTAAAAATTTAAGGGAGTAAAGTCAATTTTAAAAGTTCAGGGGGATTTTCTATTAATCATGCAAATCATTTTAAGTTGGATGTAGATGCTAACATCATAGGATATGACAATTGCGAACTCCCATATAAACATGTGTATGATCATTATATTGAAAATTATGATTTTTTGACTAAAAATTTAAGGGAGTAAAGTCAATTTTAAAAGTTCAGGGGGATTTTCTATTAATCATGCAAATCATAGAGAGCTTTTATGTAATTTATCCTATTCTGTTACTCTTCTCCTAATGTAAGCTAGGGATGACTCGGTAAAATGCTGACTCTATTATCCTGCGGGTTAGATTGCTAAAGGGGAAGAACTAGCTTATGACTACTGCCATGAGCTGGTGCCAGGAGGAGGATGCCCTTGTCTATGTGGAACTTCAAACTGCAGAGGACGTATTTATTGAAATGTCTGAAAGAAATAATGCGACAAAGCTTTTGGTCAATGAATATGCAGTCATGGAACTTTCATTGGCACTCTCAGAAATGTCAGAATTTTTCCGTAAAAATTCAACTATAAGCAAAGGAGATGTGATGGTGGTCCGCCGTAGGTTTAGGTTCTTACTAACAGTTAGTGATTTATCGCCCTTGTATACACCGATGATTTGATTCTTTCCTGGCTGCAAGAGAGCCAGCAAGATTTTTAGGTACATTTCATCTCTGTAGCAAAGCTTAATTGCTTTGAACTGTAATTATACATTTGAATTTTTCATCTACAGTCTTCAAGAGAGAACATAATCTAATTCTTTAACTGTTTAGTTTTGGCTGAATGTATTTTTCCTCTGTTCTGAGCCGAGATAGATGTTGATAGATCGGTTCCTTTGATGATCTTTTTTTTAATTGTAAAACTTCTTACTCGGTAATGAGATTCATTTTCCTACTTGGTAAAAATTTTAAAATAAAATTAAAAACTTCATATAGTTTGTGAATCAGCCCCTATTCGCATTGGCAGTAAATATGACGTTCGTTTGAAAGATAAATGGTTGAAATTATCAAAGTAAACATGATTATTAGAATGGTTGAAATTATCAAAGTAAACATGATTATTAGTTAGAAAAATTGTGTCAAGGCCTCAAAAATTAAAACAGCAAGTGATCAAGCCCCGTGTATTATTTTCATTGTACATAGTTGGTAATTTACTAGTGTAGCTATCTCATAATTGTCCTTGTTGCTATTGAGGAAATTCAATACATATTAACCATCTCAAGTAACCTTGATTGGTTCCTATTAACTCTACACAATACATATTATCAATCTAAGATAAACTGCTAATCTTTGTATGTTCCTATTAACTATACACAATACATATTAACTATCTCATGAAACTGTTAACCTTGGTATCTTCTCGTCAACTTTACATAATGCATATTAACTATCTCATGTAACTGCTAACCTTACATCGAAGTACCATTCAGTCTTGAAAAGCATGTGCTCAGTGGCAGAGGCAACATAGACATATTAGATATAGAGCGTTGTAAAGACCATTGTTGGGTGATCTTCGCCTTGGCTATTTTGGGGTGTGAAAGTCGTCAGATTGTAACTCTCACAGTTGATGATAAATACCGCTGAATAGAGTTTTCGTCAGTCGTCGGAAGGGCCATTGAATTGTAACTCCTCTTGATCTATGTGAAAAGTTCTCCATTTGCAGCTTTCATTTATTGACGTAAAAGTCGTCGGATTGTAACCTTCTTAGTCAAGATTGTTCGTTGAGGTTTGGCAGGGATCAACTATCTATTGTGATTTTTAGACAGCCTACAGGGCTGCATCTCGAAGGCTATGAAATCAATAAGAAAAATAAACTTCCTTATCTTGATCAGAACATCATCCATCTCTCCCATGGGTATTTAAACAGATCTATTGGTTAACTGGAGGGTATATCTAGCTAACTTTAGTTCACCTACCCCTAGCTGTTGAAAAACTAAATAGGGATGAATATTCATACTAGCTCCCAACTATAGAAGTACTTTATCAATGAAGTTGTTTCCTATGACACGTGACATGGTAGGACAGCTGGGGTCTATGTTTCAAAGGCATTGGCTTTGAGAGTATATCACTGATATTTGCAGCTAGAAAGGTTTTCTTTATAACATTAGTAGTTCTTTTCTTAGCCCATAAATCCTTTAAAAATTTTACATATAGGATGGGATTTGTTAGATGGCATCTAAGAGAATGATATTGATCTTAACCTACTTGAAGATTACTAAGATCTTCTCTATCTGAGGAGAGTTTTTCCTAGGCCTGAGTCTATCTAGGAAAGGAGCAACTGGTTTAAACCTATCAAAATTGAGCTTAGGTTTGGTTCAGGTTATTGGTCATCGAAAGGGGGCAATTGTTGAATAGAGTTATTAGAAGGAGAAAGAGTTTGTTTAGGTTCAGGAGTTTGACTCAGAGGCATTCTAACATGATTATCGACATGTTTTCAAGACCAGTGAATGATTGCATTCACCTGAGCTTTATAAGTTAAACTCAACACAACATCATTAGGGTATGTAACATGTTGACTTGAAAATTTTTTCTTCTCTCTTTCACTCATGGCGCTAGCTAGTTGGCCGAGTTTGAGTTTCTAACCTAGCTATGTCTTGAGTGTTAGAATTGAATACTTGACCGGTTGTCTGCATGAAGGAATTCAGAGTGTTAAATATTTGAGTTAACATGTTGGTGTTCCGTGTGGAAGTTTTAATCATAGTTTCTAAACCTTTTTCTAAGACACTGAAACATATCTCATGATCAAAACTTGGAGGAATCAGATTCATTGACTGATTTGGAAGAGACTAATTCTAGTATGTAGGATTAGGTTGTAAAAAAGTATTTGATGTATTGAATGGAACTATGTTTCCTCTAAAAAATTGTGGAGTTAAAAGGAGAGTGAAATTTTGATTTCTGAAAAAGTTCTCCAGATTTCATACAAAATTTAGATGATTTCTCCAACTTGGATTGTAGGTTAGAGAAAATATATCATTCACAAGATGCTAAAATGTAGCGTTCACTTATTGTAGCGGTTGATTATTTCCTAAGAGAGGGTATTCCTCTGAAACATGTGTTCGAGATAGATAGTTACGATATTATGGGGGCAGAAACTTTATTGATTTTAGATGGGGCTCATTCTTTGGTTTCCGAGGCTTCTAATTATAGCTATCTTTGCTTTAGATGCTATTTGACTATAAACAAAGAAAACTAAATTTGGTTTAGGGAAATTGATGAAACCCTTTCATCATAGTGTTCCTACTGCATAGTTTTCTCAGATAAACTCTCTAAAAAATTTCAACCTCCATCAACATTTTTCTTCATGAAATCCCCTTGACACATAGATTCTAAGAAATTTTTTAAAGAATGATATAATCCTTCATAGATGATTTGGTATAATCGCCACTTTCCTAGACCATGGTGGGAACATTAGATAAGAAATCTCTAAACCTATCAAAATACTTTCAGAATGGCTTCCCTGAGACTATCTTAAAATTTTAAATGTTGTTTCTAAGGTTAACTATTTTATGAATTGGAAAATTTTTCTTTAGAAAAATAGTAACAAATTCATCCTAGGTTGAAATAAAAATTAAGAATAAGCTATATAGCCATTTCTTGGACTTGTCCTTAAGAGCAAATGGATAAATCTAAGCTTAATCACATCCTTAGACAGTTTCCCAATCCTAATCATAAAAAAAACTTTCTAAATCTTAGAGATAAAAATATAAACGTCTTCGGATTCATTTTCTA